AAAGCTTCAGAGGTCAGTGATTGTATCTTTTGGTGAATGTTTAGCTTTTGTTGGCTTTTGATGACTCAGGGTGTCTTTTATGAGGCAAAATTAATGCAAGTGCCGCTCTTTATACAGTGGCCACATTGCCCAGGAAATGAAATGCCATAAGGGGAGTAGAGCTCATTAGTTTGGTGCCGTAAATGGTTCTCCAAGGTCTCAGAACTGCTATGATTAACATAAATATAGACAGAGGCAATTACAAATAAAAACACATATAAAAATCATCTTTCCATCTGAAAATTCAGTCCACAATATCCCTCTTTGGCTGTTCACAGACACGGTGACCTAGAAGTCAGGAACATTTCATACCGATCATGACATAAACCAAAGCCTGAGGAAGGAAAGCAGCCAGCCCAGGGTGAAAGTGAGGACGTAACATAGTTACCAGGGTACCAGTTCAGGATTTTGAGATTCACCCTCAGAATTATATCCTTTCTGGAGCAATTTGCAGAAAATGCTGCCCCAGTATGTTATCTTCACTCTGCAGTTCTCCCTCAGGTAGTTGCTGTTGGGTGAATGTGTTGACTCTCCTTAGGACAGGGCAGAGTAGTTCTAATCTTATAAGAACTATCTCAAGCCTTCATTTTGCAAGGGCTGAAAAAGAAGAAACCTTGTCAGGTTTTCTAGTAAGGTCCATAAATTTCTTCAGAAGATGATGATCTTCAAGAGGATGAGAATGGGGTAAGATGGGAGGCATGGGCCAGCCCCATGGAGACCCACTGTGTCAGCATCATTGGCCCTTAGAGCTGCTCCTCAGCCAGTGCAGAGCAGTGAAGTGCCCTGGGCACAGGTCTACATGTCTTTGTAGGAGATTGTACACTTTTTAGGCTGCACCTCGCCCTTCAACATTGTGGATTTATTCAGAACAGACCCAAACACCAAGAACAAGGAATGTATGGTAGAAACTTAAGCGTGGCCTCCTCACCTGTCTCTGTGGCAACCACACCGAGAGACAGCTGTGTTGATGCTGCACTGGCTAAATAATGAAGGAGACAGCAAATTTCAGGCAAAGGCGAGCAGAAAGCCCAGGGTCCAGCCCAGCACCTTGACTCTAGCACCAGTCACACCAAGTACAGTGGTTTGCTGGCAACATGCCCTGTAGGAATATCTCCTCCAGACTCCTGACAGTCAAAAAGCAGCTTGAAGCACCTCTTCTAAACTGTTTTTTAACAGGTATTGTCATGACTTTAGGTGCTGCGTCTGCTCCAGCAATAGCACAATCCACTTTTACTCTAAATGTCAGGCTGACATCCTGCGGTAATGAGTTTCACGGGCTGATTACTTGTTGCATGATAAAAATATGTTGCCGGCAGCTGAGTCAGAGAGGCAATGGGAAAGAAAAAAAAAAGTAATGCTACGTGTTTTCTCAGAAAAGAGTGAGGGGGCAGGGATGGAACGGGGTTCTTGGGTTTAACTCAGGGGAAGAAAACGGCATGGAAGTTTGCTAACTGACCTGGAGAAGCAGGACACGGTGGTGTAGGTTGGAACCATTCTAAGTACCTGAAGGGAGCCTACAGGAAGGCTGGGGAGAACCTGTTTAGAAAGGCCTGCAGTGACAGGACGAGGGAAAATGGCTTCAAGCTGGAGGGGAACAGATTTAGACTGGAGATGAGGAGAGGGTTCTTCACTGTGAGGGTGGTGGAGCACTGGAACAGGTTGCCCAGGGAGGTGGTTGAGGCCCCTTCCCTGGAGATATTCAAGGTGAGGCTCAATGAGGCCCTGGGCAACCTGGTCTAGTTGGGGGTGTCCCTGCTGACTGCGGGGGGGTCAGACTAGATGACCTTTGGAGGTCCCTTCTGGCCTGGGCAATTCTATGATTCTATGATAAGTTGAGAGTCTTCTGAAGGCCTTCAAAGAAGGGTCGTGGGCAGTTTGTGTGATCACTGTTCTGCAAAAGGCTCTTACCTTACCTCTAACCCCCCCCTAAAGGAACCATGGACTTTAGTGGCTGACAGCTGACCTCTGCTGTGATGTCATCAGTGTAGCAATTTTACACAAAATTAGGTGTGTCATTGTGTGTTAAATCGTGGTGGTTAGCTTGGATTGCCCAGCTAATGAAGCAGGCAGCATTAATGCCACCACATATGGACGGCTCCAGGGCACTGGCACTGTAAGGGAGACTGAAATCACTCTGACTCTGGGAGGAAGAAAAACAATCCTTTTCCTTCTCTGGCATCCCCTCGGTGGGACAGACCCCTCCTTGCCCAGCTCTCACCCTGGTGATGCTCCTATGACTTTCTGTGGAGCTTGCAAATCTGCCCCCCTGCCCATGCCATCCTGCCCAGGCATCCCTGTAGACACCGACGGGCAACAAAAGCTGCTGATCACCTCTTAATGTGTGCCCAAATTTTGCTTGATTAAGAACAGACTCTCTAATAGCATCTCCCGCCGGCTCTGGGGCCACTCAGGCTGTGGCAGCACGGCCAGCCAGGCTTTCCTGTGGCTCAGCTCACGTGACAGCCTAAAGGGTGCTGTGGCAAAGATCTGGTTTTATTTCCCAGCAGTGAGGGGCTCAGCCTGGGACAGGTCTCAGTCCAATACCCCAAGGTGGCTTCCAGGCCCTCGGATAGTGGCTCTGAGACCTCCTTTATCCCTCAATGCAGAAGCACCAGCTTCTTCTTTGCGGGCTCGACCGTGGCTGTTGTGCTGTCTGAGGTAGTGTAGGGGTGACATCTTCCACACCATACAAGACCCAAGGTTCTGCAACCCAAATTTCTGGCCACCATCCCTATAAAAACACTTCTTAGTCAGTGGCTAGATTGGTTAGATCCTGGTAGATGCCACTTCACTTTCTGAACTACAGTTATCTCAGGGAGGAAATGCCTCTCGGCACTCTTTATTCCCCAATTCTTCACTACAGTGGTTGTAAGGAAACAAATGGAACTTTTGGAGCTCTCAGAGCTGCAGAGATGACTACAGAGTCAGGAAAAAGAAATGGAGGAGATTCCCCTCCTTCTGCCTGCTTCCCTTTGGACTCTTTCTTGTCCAATTTGCTGTGCACGAATGCAACACAAAAGCTTTGCCTGTAATTCCAAAGAAAGTCCCTGCCTGCAAGCCCAGGTTCCAAGCCAGCATCTCGGAGCATCACAGCAACAAGGGAGCAGCAGGACCCCAGCAGGGAGGAGGTGATGGGGTCACCAGTCTGGCCAGTTTGCCCAGCCAGGACTGGCTCTGACTCATGACTCTGGGCTGACTCCAGATGGAGATCCCGGTCCCTTGGCACCCATCAGGATGGGCTCTGGCTCCCTGTCTGCCTACGGATGGATTCTGGCTCCTGTCCACAGCAGTCTTCCCCTGTAGCCACCTCTAGAAGATTTCAATATTCTCCCAGGTTCACCGCTATGCAAATATTGAAATTAGCCCCTTGCATGATTATGTAGATAGTGACATTACAGACTTTTTCAGGCAAGGAGCACTGAGGAATTCATGTGCCTTCTCTGCTGATAGCATCAACAGCCAGGTTTATTTCTCAGTGAGCTAAAGAACAGCCCCCGTATATGAAAAACCTCAACATTAAAGCCCTAGGTATCTGAATATATTTCCTTTTATATTCTTAAGCCTTTCTCTGAATGCAGTAAAAGCACAAAGGGCTGTGCCATGAAATAATGTAAAATACTGCCCTCGCCAAGAGGGCCCCAATTCTCAGAGATTGAGAATTTTGAGTGAGTCTCACTAAAAGCAGAAGCAGCTTAGGAGGAGCTACGAAGGCAGCTGTACCCCACCAGCAGGTCCAGTACTCCCAGCCTGGTGATGAAGTTACCAGCTGGAAAGATGGCTACTCAAATTCAGTTGATCTAGGGTAACCAAAACCTGCTAGGAATGAGATAGATATAGTGAATGTGCCTTGAATTGAGGCAAGAGAGCAGCAGCACTTCCTGAGATCCTTTCAACTCTGTATTTCTGATTCTGTGAGACCTACTTCAAGTGCAGGCTTCAAATTCAGTCCTTAAAATGAAACCCCCTCGGGCTTTTTTCCTCTTCAGAAGGCCCTGAGAGCCTGAGAGAAGGCAGAAGGTCTCATACCCTGCTGTGAAAATAAGCAGTCCCTGGGCAGGAATCTAACTGGTCTGTCCAAGCGGCCTCGGGACAGTAATTTCTCTGTGGGAAAACACATCTTTGACACATCAGTTACATTTCCACAAAATGCCGCATTTATGTCTCATGCTTGTGCCTCATTCAGACACTTTTCTTGAGAGTCTCATTGCGCTGAGAACTGCCGTGCAACCAATAAGCTGTAATGAATGCCTGTGTGATTAAACAGCCACTTTCTACCCCCAAAATACTGCCATAAAAACACTGAATGCAGCTGTTACCTTTTCTTAAACTACCGGTATTTTCCTATCCATAGTGCAAACCCTTTGCACTGTGCAGCAGAGCTAAGCCTGGAGAAAAGGAGGCTGAGGGAACACCTTATCACCCTCTAAAAACTACCTGAAAGGAGGATGTAGCCAGGGGAGGTCTCCCAAAGAACAGGGGACAGGACAAGAGGGAATGGCCTCAAGTTCCTCCAGGGGAGGTTTAGATTGGATATTAGGAAAAATTTTTACGCTGAAAGGGTTATTAAGCCTTAGAACAGGCTCCCCAGGGAAGTGGTTGAGTCACCATCCCTGGAGATATTTAAAAGATGGGTTGACATAGCACTTAGTGACATGGTTTAGTGATGGTTTTTGTCAGTGTTAGGTTGATGGTTGGACTCAATGATCAGAAAGGTCCCTTCCAACCTAGGGAATTCTATGATTAGCCAGGCTCAGATTTTACCAGTGGGCACTAAATGAGATTTATCCTTCATTCCCACCCACTGATCTGTCATCCCCATTATTTTACATCTTACCTTGAGTTAACAAATGGTCCATCTTCAGAGCACGGCTGGGCACGGCCACGGGGGATTTGGCACGCTGGATATAATGTGTTCTGCCGAGTTGGATGGGCAGTGACAAAAATTATCCCTCTTCCCCCAGGTCCTTCCAACGTCCCACCGCAGCGAGCAAAGCCAACACTGGGCAACCCTCTAAAATGTTTATTTGGACCAGTGGCCGGGGTTCTACATCTTACAGACATGATGAGAAAAGGTAAATGGCATCTATGCTGGTTGTCTCTTGGGGGTTTGGATCTTTAGGAGTAGCATCTCTTCAGTGGTGGCACTGAGGGGGGAAAGAAGGATGCAAGGGGTGTCCAAGCCAAAACAGAGTGGAAGGACAATGCCAGAGCCATGGCCAAAGTCTTCCTTGTTCCCAGGACATCAGTAGCACCCCATGCCCATCTCTGAGGTCAGCACACACACAAATAGCACATTTAAAATCACACTAATCCCCAGCCACAGGTTTGCAACCTCATCTCCAGCACCTGTGAAGCCTTTATGCCTTTTGCAGGTGTCCTGCTTCCAGCCATCAGCCCACACATCCCTGCAGGCAATGCACACACAGTGCCTCCTCTACCCCAGCCAGATCATTGCCCTGTCTCACTCTTACACACCTGGATGATGTATCCAGCTGTCAGAGATGTTTTCTGCTTATATGAATGTGTGTGTGAGGATGAGCGTGAGCATAATACACTGCACAGTGTCTGGGGGATGACAAGCAGCCTGAAAGTGATCTGGGAGCCCACCTAAGTGCGCTTGCTGGATGGAACAAGCTGCAGGATACAGAGGAAAAAATGAGTTACTGGGTCTCCCAGTGGAGCAAGGAACTACACAGAAGAGAAAGAAAGGGAGGGAGAAGTTTCAAGTCCACAGACAAAGGCAGCACTCAGTTGGGAATGAAAGATGTTAAATATCACTGATGAAAGAGCAATAGTCAGTAATGCTTAGACTCATACTTCCAAAATCTCTCTCCTTTGCACTGGACAGCTTGTCTTGCCATAACTGCACACGTTTCCCTTTCTTTTCTTTTCTTTCCCCTTTCCCTCCCTTGCCTCCTCTCATTCAGTTCCCCTTGAAGTCACTGCTAAATGCAATCACAAAAAATCAGACTCCGGTGAAACAAAAACAGAGGTCAATGTATCTACAGTGCCAATTAGCAAAACGCACTCTTCAGTTATTCTAATGAGACATTACTGCTTGCGTCTGCTTGAGAGAATGTGCTCATGAGTTCAGGCAGCAGAGCTGCCCTCAGGACACTGAGTTTCTTTGGAGAATTTGCCCATTTGCTGAACTTTTCTGCAAAGGTTGCAGAGGTATCCAGCTCTTTTGATAATCCAGTCCCAAACAGATATTTAGAAGCCACAAAGGCCAGCTTGGCAGCAGGTTTCTGTGGGCTTTTGGAGGTGGTTATCTAATGAACTAGGGTGAGATGTACTTCTGCAAGTCTCCTCTTTAACTGAATTTTCCCCAGGCTAATGTTCTTCTGCCCTAAGGCACTGTCATGGACAGGATGGTCCAAGGTTAGACGCTTGGAGGAGATACCAGCCTACACATTGGGCTGGCTGGAAGCCACAAGATCCTGATTAGCATGGCCTTCAACTCACACCATGCCTTTCACTGGGACTTATTAACTCGGGCTGAGAGCTGTGCTAAATAGGACTCACCTGTTTCTGGTCACTTAAACCCTTGGCAGAGCTCTGCCTGCAGAAATAGGGACGTAGGGAGTGGCATCTCTGGGATTACACACCAGGCATGGTCATTTCAGGTGCTTTTTCAAGCTTTTGAGTGGGCTTATTTCCCGGAAGGAGTTGTTCATAGCCTGGGAATGATCAATAAAATGCAGGAGGGAAGGGAGGGAGAGAAAATGGAAATTGGAGGGTGCTGACCACAGGCTCAGGACTGCAGAGGAGAAGTGTGAACACAGGGTCAATGTTGCTGGTGGGAGAAACTCATTCCCCAGCAGCTGGTAGGGATTTTAACAAATGTAAGGTCACCAGCAGCATCCCTATATCAAACAAGAAACATAGTTTAGAGAAAATACTTCTCCTAAATGACCCTTTCCTAGGATTTGTTGTTCTTGTTGTCAGGAGGATGGGGCCAGTCTTTTTTCAGTGGTGTCCAGGGATAGAACAAGAGGAAATGGGCACAAACTTGAATATAAGAAGTTCCATCTCAACATGAGGAGGAACTTCTTTACTCTGAGGGTGGCAGAGCCCTGGAAGAGGCTGCCCAGAGAGGTGGTGGAGTCTCCTTCTCTGGAGACATTCAAACCCACCTGGAGACGTGCCTCTGGGACCTGCTCTGGGTGGACCTGCTCTGGCAGGGGATTGGACTAGATGATCTCCAGAGGTGCCTTCCAACCCCATCTCATTCTGTGATTCTTTAAACTTCAGATGGGAAGACTGCCAATTGGAGGAGCAAATTTGTCACCTAACACATGCTACAACCACGGGCTTCTGAGGGATTTCACTGTAATAATAACCTGTGCAGCAATGTCTCTCTTGTTGTGGAGGAATCACCTCCTCTTGGGTGGAAGGTCTCTCTCAGGCATCTCCTTTTGCAGGATCAAGCCCCAGATTTATCTATTTCATTTCTGGTTTACACATACATTGTTCCTCAACTGCTACTTTTTATGCTTCAGAAACCTAGTCAAGCCCTCATTATTTCTCAGCTAATTATGCTTTCCACAACATTGTGAGCTTGGAAAACCAAAACACTGGTTTGGTTTGGTTTGGTTCAGTATGGTCCAGTTTGGTGGGAAAGAATTGAGTGAAAGAAATCTGTTCATATCAATAGGAATCCTTCTACAACCATCACTGGGACTTTTGTGAGAGCTCTGGAGAGATTTCCTGTTGCCATAGCTCTAACAACAAAAAATGATGCAGCTTAATGTACCCTGTAAAGAAAAATGTAAAGAAATTTGCTTCTGAGCAGAGAAGTCCCTGAGCATTGGGAATTCTGCTGGTGAGATACAGGAGGGTTTTTGACCCTTGCATTCAAGGATTTCTGATATCAGTAGACACCTCAACATGAGGTAATTTGAGTGACATCTGCATAATGACTGTGATATCAGAGACGGGAATGTGAATTCAAAGTCACCCTGAATAATCCAGGCAGGCAGGTATCCCCACCTGACAAGCCCCGTGACCGCTCAGTGACGGAGGAGGCAGCGTCTCCCTCAGCATCACACCACGGTCCATTTGCAAGGGGAAGGAAGTTAAGGGTAGGCAATTTGTGTCTACTTTAAAAAAAAAATAAAAACAAAGTAATGGCAGGTGCCATGTTGTCTAGATTTCCAGGTAGGAAACTAGACCCTCTTTGCAGGTCTTACTTAAAAAAAAAATAAAAACAAAGTAATGGTAGGTGCCTGGTTGTCTACATTTCCAGGGAGGAAACTAGACCCTCTTTGCAGGTCTCCTAGATCTACCCATTTTGGAACAAAACAGGAACTGTACTGGGTCAGAAGAAGTGTTATTTTATCCTCTCCTTCTCTACGTGGGCTTGCCCAGTTCAAGAACTGTACTAGGTCAGAAGAAGCATTACTTTAGCCTCTCCTTCTCTACGTGGGCTTGCCCAGTTGGAAGCCCTTGGCATACCAGACTGGTCCTATCTACATACCATAAATTCATCATATCCCAGAGCTGCAGCGCAGTCCTGCACCGAGCAGAGCACACAGGATGCATGTTTCCTATCTACATACCAATAAATTCATCATATCCCAAAGCTGCGGCGCAGTCCTGCACCGAGCAGAGCACACAGGATGCATGTGGCATGTCTTGTCCTTCACATAAAAGGTCATGTCCCTTGTGATGGCAAAGAACTGTCTTGGCTGCAGCAAATATGAGCAACTCTACGGAAGATGTAGAATTTCTTATTAAGGCTTAAACCAGCACTGTAATTCTCCTTCACTGACCCGTGTTCAGGCTGACTAACGTCGCCTGGGCTGCCGAATTTCATCACACAGGTCCTCCCTAAGCTTTCCTCTGGAGATCACGTCAGGAGCTGCTGACCACACCGCAGAGGGATCCCGGCTGCTGTGCAGAGAGATACGGAGAGGGAAATCTCTGCTCTGTCCCCAGCAGGCACGGTCATGGCTAAGATTCCCTCTCTCTGGCAGCCGAGCCCGGGTAGAGCTGCCAGCCCATATCCTCTGAGCAATTTGGCAAAAGGGACACTGAGATTTAGCAGGGGAGAACTTCGGTTTGGAAACGATCAGGGGAGAAAAGACCTTTTGTCCTTGGAGGCTCACTTTCTATTAAATGTCTTTGCACAGGGCAGGGAGACCCCCGCGTTCTGACGGCTGGGACTTCTTTAAAAACAAACAGCCCTCCCCTCTTGGTGTTTTATCACTTAATCATAAGTATTAGATGGAGTCACCTGGATGAGGAGTGTCTGGGATGCAGTGACCTGTACCTAACCACACCGCAGCAGCCAGCTAATTGAGGCTGTGCAGCCCTGGGACCCAAAATCAGCCGGCTGAGCACGGTGCTCTTCCAGCTCACCGAGCAGAAAGAGGTCCCTGGGCTGTGCCAAAAGTTCATACATCCACAAACTACCCACCCCCCTCCTCCATGGAGCTGTTACTGGCAAAATATTCTGCACAACATACCATGCCACCCAAAGCCGAGGTTCTCAGGGCCAGAAACATGAAGTTTTGTAATAGCAGATGTTGCCCATATCATACTGAGCAAATTGTCACCTCCCTGGAGCCGGCAGGAGCGGGGAGGAGGAGGAGGAGGGATGGTTTCTCAGCGTGTCTCCTGGGCTGCAGCAGGACCACTGCATCACTCGCCGACACCTCCCACGCCACCACACACCTTGAGGTTGTCACCACCGACTCCTGGCAGGCATTCGGGAGAAAAAAAGCCCTCAGTAAGGTGCACCAGGCCACCGATTTCCCATTGTCCGGGGCTTTGACCAACAAATATTTGCAAAAGACCAAGCGAAGGGCTGCTCCAAGCACGAGCAGAGCTTTATTTAACTTTATTTACGGTGGCAGTTGAACGTGGGAGACCCACCGGCCACCACACACCGTCCCCCTTGCCTGTCACCCTCCAGACAGACCATTTCCACAGCACACCCCTCCGGGCCCTCCTATTTCTACCTCTTCTTGCACATTTCTTGGGTCAGGGCCACAGGGGAAGCATTCCTAACCGTTCTCAATTAGCTGTTTGTTTGTAAATTGTCCCTCTGTACCCCCTTTCACGTCCAAGCTGCTGGGGTGATGGCAGTGAGCGATTGGGGTGTCTCTGCTTTGTGTCCCCACGCTGACATCGGTTACGCTGCTGTGATGGGTTAATGTGCTGGAACTGCACCACCACCTCTGCCTTCCCACCTGCCTCCAGTTGGGAGCCATGCAAACCCAAATGGCAGCCCTCAGAGTTAAATAGTTTGATAAATAAGAACAGAAAAGTGAATATTCGATTGTTACTCCACCTTACTTCTTTGAAGGCAAGTGCATCTGCCAGTTCACAACGTATTTTTTCCTCCCCAATGCCAGAGAAAGATTTGACAGGATTTTCCTTTCCAACTAGGAAAACATTGACAAGCTTTAAAGGATGGTTTTGAGGAGAAACCACAGGCATCTAAAGATATAAATTACAGTTGGATGAAGAAACCTCAAGGGGTCTTAGGTATGGGAGACTATCGACTGCAGTACCATCTAAACTAAATTTTTGTGATAAAACCCCACACCGTATGTCCTTTTCCCGGCTGTGACTCACCATCTAAATACAAACTCAATTCCAGTTCCAGGGAGTTTATGATTAAACCTCTTTTGTTGTTTCTGCTGCGTTTATGTATGATTTTACTTATGTCCTAACTCTATTTCTTCATCCCTGTTGGTGAATGTAAAAGTTATTACGGTCGGCCTGACACCCGGTGCTTTTTTCCCCAAGGTTGAGTGAAACTTGGTGGTTTCAGCTTAAATGGGCGGTGGGTTTGCTAGAGCCCAAAGTGATGATGATGTTGCTCACCTGCCATTTTGCAGACAGTAGAAGAGGAACTTCTTCCACTATGTCCATGTTATGGTGGTGCCAGGGCTCAGAGGCGTGCGGTTCACATGCTTCGGGTGCTGCCTGGATGATTCAAAAGAACCGTTAACAGAAAACACAGGAGATTTTGACCAGCCTCAGGTCTGTAAGTACATTTTAAACCCACAAAGTTTGAGTGTGTTTGAAATGTACTCAAATATTTCCTTCTTCACCATTGTGTCCTCGTGACCCATTGAATCATCAAAGGCTCGGGGATGAAAGAAGGACTTATGGTTAGAAAAATGCAAAGGACTCTCTGCTGAAGGGGCAATGGTTTGTTGTATCTTCTTTTTTTTTTTTTAATCCCAGAACAAATCGCTTTGGTGGATAATTTTCTGAGAGCATTTCACTGTAATGAGTAACTGGGCTTCCAGAAAGCTATTTTATAAACAAAGTAAATAAGCTCCCAATCAAAAAACCCACAGAAATCAATTGCAAAATCCCCATAGTGTTTCATGAGCTTTGAGTCACACTCGGGGCGGAAAATTACCCAAGCCACTAGCCTGCGGGGAATCAAAAAAGAATGTGGTCCTTTCAGATAATTTTAGTGACGATTTTCTTCAGGCTGTTTTCTACGTATGGTAACACAAGACCTGCTACCATATTCAGCCGAAGAAAAGACACCTCATATACCTAAACATCTTCTAGTGGCCTAAGTCGACACCAACAGGTCAAATTCACCTGTGGGATAATTCAGCCGAGTCAATTAAGCTGTACTAAAGAAGGATTTACTGGCACCGACAGGTCAAATTCACCTGAGCCAATTAAGCTGTACTAAAGAAGGATTTACTGAGCTGGCACAAGGGTCTAATCTTTATATTTGCTCTAAGAGGTTTTTACCTTTTCAGAAATGTCTCTAATTTATTTTGGAGATGAGTAAGTTTTCACCAGGTCAGAGTGAAGACATCTGAAGACCTTTAAGCCTTTCTCTCTCACGAGATGGGTATGGAGGTGGAACCATATAGAGGGTTCATTGATTAACTATGAACTTCACATAAGAATGTATTATTTTCAACCTCAGAAATATTTACCAAAAAATCAGGGATCACGACCTACTGGACAAAAGGAAAACAGTCACCGCCCTAAAAGCCGGAGAAGACCGGGCCATACTCCTGGGGCTGGCCATGATGGTGTGCTCTATCATGATGTTCTTCCTCCTGGGAATCACCCTGCTGCGGTCTTACATGCAAAGGTAATTTCCTGAGGGTCACCCTGATCTCACACTCTCTGCTCCACCTGACTTCTCGTGTCTCATTCTTTTGACTCTTTTTATTAAAGGTGTAGAGTTTTTCCTTTGTTCAACACCGATTCTCCACTTCCCTACCCCAGTATAAACTGGACACAACTACAGTGAATGCGAGCTGAGCAATCCCTATATAAGCAAGGGAAGAATTAGAATTAGAATGCTGAACCCTGTGAGCCTCTCAGGGGCTGCTGCTGCAAAGCCCAAACTGAGGCAAAAAACAGCAAAAACATCTAGTGGCCTGGAGAAACACCGCGCTTTCAAATGAAGAATGGAGAATTAATTTGGGAAAGAAATCGAGCTGCTTCGTAGTATGTAGTTTTCCACGTCGGTTATTGCTTTCATTTTAACAAGTGAAATCCTCCTGAAATATAGTAATTTGCTGAAAGTGAAAGATCATCTTTCATCATTACTGCGCTGCGCTTAATTTTTCCGAGGCCGTCTCTGGCTTCCTTCTCTGTCACAGAGCAGAAAGTTTGGCCTGTGATTCATTAGCAGCATTTGAAACCAGTTCTCAAGCACCCAGCCCTATTTAAAATCCAGCCCGGACCGTAATAAGGCTGTCAGCAATGTTTTTTCTGCCCTGATCAGTGGAGATGGGAGAAGGAAAAATGTGTAATTGGGGATCAAAACATTAGTTTGATCAAAACAGGCCCAAAACCACCCTGAGACAGTGGCCAACGCTTGGCACATTTTGGTTTGTCCACCACGGGCTGTTTCTTTAGGCATGTACAGAAAGTGCCTACAGTTAACTGGTGTGAACATCCTCCATTATACTTGTGCACCTGCAGGAAAATAATCCTCCTTGACCTTGCAGCAATGAGGAAAAAGTAGCGATGCCTGAGGATAAATTGTACTGATTTGCAGCATCTTATTTGTGCAATAAGGGTACTTGTCCCTTTTAAATCCAGGCAAAGTTCAGATTTTGAGAACAGTGATCAAGATCTGTTAAGCATCCGGGGGCACTTGCTTTTCCAGATTGCTCTCCCAGACCTTTGAGCAGTATCAGGGTCAGTTGCAGAGGCTGCTAAGGTCAAAGCTGTTCATGTGGAAAGAGAGGATTTATATTACAAACTATGTGAAAAAATTGCCAGAAGATATCAAAGCACCTAGGAAGTATTAAATATTCCATCTTCACAGGTCTGGTAGGTAGGTGTCACTTTATTACCCCCCTGCATGAATAAAACAGCAGCCAGGAAGGTGAAAGGGAGGCAAAGACGACAACCCAAGAGTCCTCGTGACACTTCTCTTCGCACAGCCACATCTCCTCAGGGGTTATTCTCCTTTACAGAAACTGAAAAACACTGCCTGGGAGGTGGAGGGGGGGAAAAATCCTTTCACTTGATTTCCCCCCAGAAATCATAGCATAATTTAATATAAATGTAAAATGGAATATACAAGGAGAATTCCTGCCAAAGCAGAATACCAAGAGAATTAGTCAGAAATCTTTGATATCACTTAGTGTGTTAAGCCTTTGGTGGGTTTGGCGAGGGACAAGCAGATCCTCAGCCTGCTGATGGCAGGACAGACATGAGTGGGGCTAAAGCGGGGACCTGGGGGGGAAACCACCCCCCAAGCCTGGGAAGAACCTCACAGAGAGCCCTCTGCTCTCGTCCCCAAGGAAAATACAGACATAGATTTTTAAATACAGGCAAAAAACCTAAGTGAGCATTGGCAGGGCACACCATCGTTCCAGTTTTAGCCTCTGGTGAATTGGAGATAAGCTGAAATCCTCCAGAGTGGTTACAACTGCTGCTTTAACTTACAGAATATGGAGCAAACTGCCACTAGAAAAAGCCTTTCCACAGGTGGAGCTGCCTGTGGTACCACCTGTGCGTTACTGTGTCTTCATGTCCATGAATATACCGTGGGAATTCAAAGTTGTCCTCCCAGCCTTCACTTTGAACTGAACTGGGTTTTGTGGTTCACCACCGAATTTTGGTCCAGGGTGTCCCATCAGGCAGCACCACACACGTTGTGCTCTCCCCAGGGCAGGCTGCTCAGTTTTCCTCTCTGATACTTCTAATATACCTTCTCCAGACAAAAAGTCCTAAGTCCCTTTATACACAGACATGAGAAATTTGGGTATTTTTGTGCCCAAAGCACAAACCTTGGGTGCTACAGAATAATATACTGTCTGCGATGTGCAACATGAGAAAGTCCAGCCTTTGCTCAAAGCCCTGCAACATGTAGAAATTGGCCAAGAAAGCCAATGGCATCCTGACTTGTAATAGAAATAGTGTGACCAGCAGAAGTAGGGAGGTGATTGTCCCCCTGTACTCAGCACTGGGGAGGCCACACCTGGAGTGTTGTGTCCAGTTTTGGGCACCTCAATACAAGAGAGATGTTGAGGTGCTGGAGTGGGTGTAGAGGAGGGCAACAAAACTGGTGAAGGGCCTGGAGAATAGATCTTATGAAGAGCTATTGAAGGAGCTGGGACTGTTTAGTTTGAGTAAGAGGACGCTGATGGGAGACTTCATCACTCTCTACAACTATAAAAAGGACATTGTGGAGAGGTCGGTGGTGGTCTCTTCTCACAGGTCATTAGTGATAGAACGAGAGGGAATGGCTTCAAGCTCCAACAGGGTAGGTTTAGACTGGACATTAGGAAACAATTCTTCACAGCAAGAGTGGTCAGACACTGGAACAAGCTGTCCAGGGAGGTAGTTGAGCCACCATCCCTGGATGAGTTTAAGAGTCATTTAGATGTGGTGTTGGGGGATATGGTGTAGGGGAGGCCTTTGTAGAGTAGGGTTGGTGGTTGGACTCGATGATCCCAAGGTTCTTTTCCAGCCTGAATGATTCTATGATTCTATGTACCATCTCCCACAAGATGCCCCTTGGTATATCCTCCACTCAAAGCCTGAGCTGTGTTTAGTGCTTATTTCCCATTCCTGCCATGCTCTAACCTCTCTTTTTTTTTTCCTGCTTAGTGTCTGGACAGAAGAGGGTCAGTGCTCGCTTCTCAACGCATCCATCACGGAAACCTTCAACTGCTCATTTAGCTGCGGTCCAGACTGCTGGAAAATCTCTCAGTACCCCTGCCTCCAGGTGTACGTTAATCTCACCTCTTCTGGCCAGAAGCTTCTGCTCTACCACAATGAGGAAACAATGAAAATTAATTCCGAGGTAGGAGCACTGAATAAAATTTCTTCCTAAACGGGTTTCTGGAGGGCTGCTTCCCTTGTTATACCCATTCCTCACTTTAAAACAATATAAGGCTTCCATTTCCTGCTTCCCTGGTAAATACAGAGCAGAGAGAGCAGAAATCAGGGCACAAACTGAGCTCACATCTCTGGATGGGGCAGTTTTCCACCTCTGTTCCCTGCAGGGAGCACATCGAGATAGTGGGGAGAGCTGAGAAGAGAGCCAAAACCTCGGTGTCTAACCACAAACATGCCTCCACCTCGATCTCTGGTGACCAGCTCTGCACCCTGAGCATCTCCATCGAGGTCAGATGTGCCCCTGGGGTCAAGGCACAGCACTTAGCCCCTGTGGATGCTGCAAAGACGCTGAAAGTTTGGGGAGCAGGGACTGTCAAGATAAAAGCAGCAACAAAAAAATTAAAGGCCTGGCTTTGGGGCATGTATAAGCTGAGGAGTCAGTCTGATTCCAGACACTGAACCAAAAAAACCACCTGATTTTTAACAAATCAGCAGAATTCCTCCCTCTGCTTCGGCAGGTACAGAATCCAGTGTAACTCCATCCAGGTGGGAAGGAGCCAGCCCCTGTCTGGAGGCTCTAACAAACGTGGTGGATGCACAGAAGGCATCTCCTCGCCCTCCCGCAGCCCCAGCTGTGCAGCTGAGACAACGCTGTGCATCAAACCCCGGCACGACACCGCCTCTTCACAGGTGGCTGTCTGCTCCTGGGCAGGATTGGGCCCAGGAATGTCCCTCTCCCACCTTCCCTTCTGTGTATCTATCGCCTGGGTACCTCTGATCCCAGCCAGCTTGGATGCAGCGAAGTCATTAGACCCTCGAGTGCCAGATTTGCATTAACTACTTCGTTATCCAAGGTCACCGAACCCCCAAACTGCGGGTGCTCAGCAAAGCAGAGCCCCGGTTCAGGCTGCTGACAACGTAACCTATTGCCTTTCTATTTATGGCAGCAGCTCACTCGACCAAATTACTTCTGCATATTAAGATGAAGCGATATTAAAATTAGTCAAAGCACGGAGTGGTTGCACCGGGCCGGTTATTCTGCGGGATAATTAGCTCCTGTGGCTGAGAGACCAAGTCTTCTGGATCTGAAGTGTAAAAGGGAGAAAAGTGCCCCACGTTCTCCCCCCCAGTTCAGCATCACTGCAGAACACAGACTATCCTAAAGCCTGTGGCAGGACAGATCCCACTTTCTGAAAAATTAACAGCCTCAAGTTACACCAGGGGAGGTTCAGGCTGGATATTAGGAAAAATTTTTTACTGAAAGGGTTACCAGACATTGGAATGGGCTGCCCAGGGAGGTGGTTGAGGCACCGTCCCTGGAGATGTTCAAAAGACAGGTTGATGTAGTGCTGGGAGATATGGTTTAGTGATGGTGTTGCTTTTTGTTTGTTGTGTGGGTGTCTATTTTTGTCATAGTTAGGTTGATGGTTGGACAAGATGATCTTTAAGGTCCCTTCCAACCTAGAAGATTCTGTGATTCTGCTGGGCCAGGAGCAAAAATCCAGTGATGCTCGTGCTGCAATTTGATTAAAACAGATCGGTCACCGTGCTCCACTGGATTCAAAGAAATCAAGACATTCACCATAAATCTCCACATTCTGTTATTGGTGATTTTCACTTGCCGAAATGGACTTTGAAATTCTCCCGGATGCCACCCCCTCTTAATTTGATGTAGGCACAGTTAATACTTCTCCAGCCCAAGGTTGTTTTACAGGTTAAGCTCTGCTCTCGGGAGGATCCCTAGGTTTTCCTGACATGCTGCTGGCGACGTGACTTGAATCCAAAAGCAGTTTTGAATGGAAGTTTGCAATGTCTATAAAACACCCGGTCTCTTGTGCTTGGTGGAGACTCCAAACCCAGACCAGCACAACCCCGGGCTTCCCCTGGACCAGAGACGAGCAGCCCTGAGCAGGGTGATGCTTCAGCTGGGTTCTCTCCCTCCCTCTCCTATTCAGATCTGCATTTCCTACCTTTCTCCTTGCCAAATGAATTTAAAAAAAAAAAGCCTCCCCTGGCTGTCTGAGCCCTGGCATTACTGGGGACATTGCAGAACCCAGTGCTGACCCTCTGGGGGTGACACCAGCGACCTTCAAAAGGTCCAACATCCCCCTGCCAACCTCTCTGCCTCGCTGAGCAGAGCAGCGTCTGGAGCCTCTCTGTCTCCTCTCCTCTCCCTGCCAGCCCGCGCAGACGGAGCAGAACCCACTTTGATTTTTAAGTAATGATTCATCTAAGGAGACTTGCTGCTGGCCCACAAGGTGGGGTATGGAGAAGGTGCCATTTATTTTGTACGGAGCTCCACAGCGTGCGGCAGCTGCTGGGCTCCGGTGGGAATCAGCGGGAAGGGGATGGATACCCCTCGAGCTGCTCCAGCCTTTCCCAGACAGGCACAGGAGATTTTTCACCCTTTTTCATCGCTCTCACTGTGCATACTTTACTTCTAGCCTTTCCAACAAGTCCAGCCCCTTGTCAACACTACAGCCGTCGTGGCTTAAATGCTTTCACGGCTACACTTTTCTCGGTTTTTTTGGCTGTCAGAGGCTGAAACAGCCTCTGGGAGAGGTAAATCCACCCCTGTCCCCTCACACCCACACCACGGAGCCAGGCTGTCACCCTGAGGAAGGACTGTGGCAGTTAAAGCAGTTCTAGAGGCCCCGTTCCCATCCCATACTCTATCATTTTGATTCTTTTCGTGTCACCGGAGCCGCTGCTGATTTATACCCCTGCTCCATAAGTGAGATAACAAGGAGGCTTTAATCACCAGAATCACCCTCGCGCCAGCTAGAGCTGCCTGAGACTGAGAAATGATGGGGGGATCTCACAGTTTCCCGGGGAAGGGCTGGGTATTTATAACTCAGAGAGGAGCGTGCCCGGCGTGGGGGGAGCAGCGATGATGGGCTGCCAGTCCCAGCAGGCTCATTTCTGGGCTGGGGCTGCAGAATTCCGGCTGCAGGAAGCAATACCTAGCCAGCACAGGCACAAAGCTCCTCCTTCAGCCCTCGGTTCAAACCCATGGCACTTTCCGAAAGAGCTGTACATCGACATCCCCACCCCTTTCACAGAATCATAGGATTTTAGGGGTTGGAAGGGACCTCTGGAGATCATCTAGTCCAACCCCCTGCCAGAGCAGGTCCACCCAGAGCAGGTCCCACAGGAACGTGTCCAGGTGGGTTTGAATGTCTCCAGAGAAGGAGACTCCACCACCTCCCTGGAGACTCCACCAGCCTCTTCCAGGGCTCTGCCGCCCTCAGGGTAAAGAAGTTCCTCCTCATGTTTAGGTGGAACTTATATTCAAGTTTGTACCCATCTCCTCTTGTCCTATCACAGATCACAGGGACATACACCCCAGCCTCAGACATACGATGAGAGCCAGGTATTTCATTGCCCACCCTGAACTGGGGGCCTCTCTGGCAATAGGCTTGTCTTAAATATAACCACCCCCAGCGTTCCGGGAGGTGGTGTGTGATCTCCACCGTTGGAGACATTCAGAAGTTGAGTGGATAAACCCTGGAGAAACTCTGTACTGAGGATGGCATTGGAGGGGGCAAGTCCAGAGATGGTTCATACAGGTCACCTCTCCAGTCCTTTAAAATAGAAAAGCTGAGCTGCAAATGTAATAACAAGTTCTCTCTGTAGCTGTCTACTATGTCCTTCTCATCACCAAGTTGCAACTAACGCCAGAACCACTTTTCTCACGTTTTATCACAGAGCCCTTGCTTGAGGTGGAGAGGCAGTCATTGTTTACTTTCAGATTTGCAGATTTCCAAGCGTTTGACAATACAGAGGTGTAAGATAACAGCAGAGACTTAGTGGTCTACAGTCACAGGTACAGCACAACAGCTGTGGGTATGAAATTCCATGTCAGTCCCCATGTTAATCTCCTCACTCAGGACAGTAACAGCTAGGACTTCAAGAAACAAAAGTGTATAGCACCAAACTTGCAAGAAAAAAAAGAAAGCATCTGAGCTGGAAATACCGCTGTTACGGCAGTGATAGCACATAATTTAGTAAAAGAAAATGAGGTACGCTTCACTGAGAAATTCTCCTACTTATTAGATTATGATCTATTAAAGAGTCGTAGGCACTGGAAGGGGGTTCGTGGCTTTGGACATTTAAGACAAAGCTGAGCAGAGTGCAAGAGAATATCCTGGAGGGAGCAGAGCTGCACCAGCAGGAAGATGGATGAGATATTACCGCTCTGATATTTTCCGTCTCTGATTTCTAGAGCTCTATGAAATATTCATAGTGGCAGCCCTGCTATGCTCTACCCTTAATGCTCCAGTCTGCTAAGGCCAGGCAATCTTTCTGCCGTGCTTCAGATCATATTCTGTGCTCATAAACTTGCCAATGAATCAATCAAGTCCTGTTATGAAGTTAATCCTTTGATCGTTATTAGGACGAGAGATTTTTCACAGTACCTTACAAAAAAGTCATGGCATAGTCATGAAAAAGAACTGAGGGACATTTATAAAGGATATACATTAACACAATAACAATCAAAAGCCATGGGTCACATTATTTTAATCAAAACATCTTTTTTTTTCCCTTGCAAAACTCACTTCCTCTCATTAAATTATCTGGAGCTACTTTAGGTGCTCACCTGGGACAAGAGGGTTTGGCAGCACAGGCACGGAGCATGGTGGAACCCATGGCCACCCCATAGCTGGGGTTATGGTGGGACCCATGACTACCCCATAACTCGGAGGGAGTAGCGACCTTCTGGGTGACCACACACACTTTCAAAGAGAATTTAAGCCGCAGATTTCCACCCCTCCTGAAGTAGGACTTACCTGGGTAGGGAATTTAATCAAAATCCTGGGCAGGTGTAAAAACCTTCAGGTGTGGAGGGGAGTGAGCACCTGGAAGAGAGGAGAGAGTGAGGTGCCTCCCATCAACCTTAGTCCAGACCAGCAGCAAAAACAAATTAGGATATTTCTGTTCTATATCAAAATCCTGATGTAGCCTTGGTCCTCACGTGTCCGTCCACTACCTCACCAGCTCACGCTAGCTCTTTGCAGGGAATGGTCAGCACAGCCCAGGGCTACTGTCCTACGGATCCCAGGGAATATCTTCAATACACAGACTCCATAAACTAATTTTATAATTAGCTTGGTTTTAGTATTCTTTAGGAATGCTAGGTTGAAAACGAGCTAGAAAGAGCCACCCCCAAATCTTCTTTTCTTTGTGACTGAGACTGAAATTCAAGCAGCATCTTCGGAGAGGAGCTGTTGGACTTGGGCTGGGGTCAAGAGAGAAAACAAGACTAAGAGCCACCCTGGCAGCCAGGCTGATCTTCAGCTTGAGGTTGAATGAAAGTTTTCTGGGTTGTCAGTAGGAAAATCACATTTTATTTATTTGTCCCTAATTGAGGAGTTACCCCCCCAAGGGAAAATTTCTGTAAAGGTCTCTCATCAGCCTCCTCCTCCTTGGGTGAACTCCTGTGCCCACTACGATCACTTTGATCCAATCCAAGCGAGATCTGAACCACCAGATTTCTATTTACAGAGAGTCAATTACCCGTCTAACTGCCAGCATATGCATGCCACTTCAGATGAAGAGGTACTTCATCAGTTCCGTTTTTGCATGTGTAAATTAGCAATAATAATATATTCACCTATCTCACGAGGCCGCTGCGCAGATTAAAGCATTAATGTTTGTACAGCACTTGGAGGTTCTCCGATGGGAAATTCTGTAGATGTGCAAAATATTGAGTTTTGTCTGTGATAAATTTATTATTAGCTTAATGGTATTCCACTCGTATTATGAAAAGCATAATCATCTTGAGATTTTGCTGCTTGCCACCTGAAAGCAGGCATTCTATCTGGTTTGGAGACTCATTTTTCTCCCTTTGCTTTCTTCCCAGTGTTCCTACATACCCAAGTGCGGCAAGAATTACGAGGAATCCATGTCACTGGTGAACGTCGTGATGGAAAACTTCAGAAAATACCAACGCTTCTCCTGCTTCTACGACCCTGAAGGCGTGCAGAAGAACGTGATATTAACCAAACTGTACAGCTCCAACGTGCTGTTCCACTCCCTCTTCTGGCCCACCTGCATGATGATTGGCGGGGTGGCCATCGTCGCCATGGTCAAGCTGACTCAGTACCTTTCCCTCCTCTGCGAGAGAATCCAAAGGATCAACAGATAAAAAAAAAAACGAAGACTTGTCTGAGATTCGATTACAGCTAAAATACTGTTTTCTCATTCTTCACCAAAGAACCTTAAGTTTGTAATGTGCGAGTCTGTTCTAAGTTCCTTACTATATTCTTATAAGTAGAGCAATAATGCAAAAGCTGTCCTATATGCAAACATGATGTTATTATTATGCAGACAACAGAAAAAAAATTAACGTTTTGTGTTGACCGTCTATATGATCTTATTTTATGCTGAGACTAGTCCTTCTTTCTTTTCTACGGCCAAAATAGGGCTCAGTGTGACCATTTGCCAAGCTTAACCAATTGACATTTTACAACGTAACCAATTCTGGAGAAAATTCACCCCTGGGCAAAGGGCCGCCGACCCCTCGTGCATCACTGAGGTCTCACATCTGGCTTGGGCCATCCGATGGATTTGTGGTTTGGCTTTTTTTAAGGTTGGCTACAGGGAGGAGGGGGAAGTCATTGAAAAGGTTTTGGTGTGTTTTTTTTCTGATAAGGTGGCACAAAAGGGATATATTTTGAGGCCAGGATAAGCACACAGTATTTTCAGCCTAAGAAGGACTTGGTGATGCCTCATGTTTGCTCCCCCAGTTCAGAAGTAAATTTTACCCTATGATGTTTAAGGTCTTTTGGAAAACACTTTGCAGTTTTATTTTATTTCGTGCTATAATTTCCTTCTCTCTTCTCAACGTTAGGGATGTATTTTGAGGCCAGGATAAGCACACAGTATTTTCAGCCTAAGAAGGACTCGGTGATGCCTCATGTTTGCTCCCCCAGTTCAGAAGTAAATTTTACCCTATGATGTTTAAGGTCTTTTGGAAAACACTTTGCAGTTTTATTTTATTTCGTGCTATAATTTCCTTCTCTCTTCTCAACGTTATCTTTGTCACTTGCAGAAGCTGTAGCCAAAAAACAAAACATCACCTTGTTCCATTTTCTATTCCAGTCTGAGCCCTATTGATGGAGATGGGACCAGAACACCTTATGTAAAGGTTTATTACTCATTTGTCTTGTATTTGCTACCATATCACTGTAAAGAAAAAAATAACACAATCAGCTATTTTTTCATTTTTTACTTCCAACTATTTTAGATTTTTTTACTTGATATATATACAGATATATATAAAAAGAAAAAGCTATATTATATCTAGTTGTGTATTGGAACTTGATTATGGGGTTCGTTTTTTTTTTTTCCTTGTTTTTACCAACTGGAAAGCAAACACTATAACTCCTGTATTTATAACCTTCATACTTGGATAATAACATAACATGGAGGAGCAGCACTGCAGGATCTTATCCAATATTCATGATGTTGTTTCAGTCAAAGGTCTCTGTTGCTGTGACATCGGTTTTGACAAAAATCTCATCTAATTCTATGGCTCTATTAACTGAATTGTTAGATAATCATCATAATACATCTGGAAATCTCTCCTGACCTTAAGTCAGTATGCAGTGCTGGCTGACGTGAATTATGATTTAAAAGGCCCAGGTGCAATGATTTATTGGAACAACTGAGATTAAGACTAAGATGCTGTCCTATTTGTCAAATATTTACCATGGGGATCTCGCCACTGTAATTCCATGCACACTGCGGTCACGATTTCTGCATAATTTATCTTTATTCCCCTGTAGAAAGCATTCCTTCTTATGTTATGTTTTAAAGACACAGTTTCTCACTTTGCACTCAGCCTGAAGGACAAACACCAGGCAGCTCCTGCGAGCACCCCATGAACTCACTGTCCAACAGCTCAAAGAAACCACTCACAGGCCTATTCAAACCAAGAAACTAACTTTTTTCCCCCTCAGAAAGACTGCAAAGAAACTATTCTGCCTACTTCATCTATATGTAAGTACCTTTCCGCAATGTAGCATTAAAAATTTCAAGATGTTACAAAACTTTACAAGTCATGCAAGTGTAACATGAGCTGTAAAAAAAAAAAAAAGATTTCTCAGCAGTGAAAATGAACCTGCAATCTTGTAATCAGTCATATAATTTTCCTTAGGTAAATAAACTCCTGGAGGGCAGGGGTATAATCAGAGCTCCAAAAATATGTAATAAAAAAATGTTAAATTAAATCTTCCACATTTCAATATCTCCTGCCTTCAGATCTGGCTTGTTTCATCAACCTGTTCTTTGTAGCTTCAGTTACCAAAAAATGAGGAGCGCTGATGCAACAGGGAAATCATAATGGTTTATTTGCAAAAATGTTGTTTTGATCAGTTCATGGGATTTGCAGAAACTGTTGTCAGAGGATCTGGGCACCTTCAGCATCAGAGGGACTGGAGTCAATGGGACTTCAGCATCAGTGGGACTGGTAGAACAACAGCAACCTCTACTCAACCACATGTCAACCAGCAGAAAGCCTGACACCCCCAGTGCCAGCATGGATGGGGGGGACAGAGAAAGGGGACCCCAGCTCCACTGTGATGGTACCCTACAAGGATTCCTCACCTGATGTCCATGATGCAAGGGGCTCCAGATGCGCATCTCACCATTGCTACAAAACCTTATTCTGCAGTTTTTGCCAAGAAGGAAGTTATCTAGGTGAGGTCCCCAGGGCTACACAGCCATGGAGGCATCTGGACCCATTTCTGTACAGCCTGGGTCGCTCCCAGGGAGCACCTTCATCCTTAAAGTTGATTTTCCTTCCAGCAGAGAGCTTTGATCCGTGGCTGGCGTTGCCATCCTTGTGGATGTCCTTCATTCATCTCCCCACCATCAGCTCAGTCACCGATGCTGAAGGAAGAACCACGCTGCCAAGGGCCATTCAAAAATCAGAAATAGCATGTGGCATCAGTATCCAAGAGCTGTGGTGGCTTTTCTGCCCCATCACTGACACCGATGTTGGCCGTTTACATGACAATTTACGTGGCCTGCGATAGAGTCGCTCTTCGGTTGCGCTGTGTGACATTTTCGGCGCCCGTATGTGTGCGTTCCGGTGACAGGAGAGCTGATTGTTCCTGACATTTACACATCAAACGCTGCTTTCAACACGTCCCGCCATAAACATTTCCCCAGTGTTCCTGTGGGTGAAACATCCTGACGCTGCTGCAGTCTATAATCATTTTGTTGACATTAACGGAGAGATCCGTGGGATTGCGACGCAACTTGAGTAATTGGATGGGGTGAGGCAAAACAATAATTTTAAAAGGGAATTATCCGTCTGATCACTGGCAGAGTTAACCCCCTACTGCAGCGTTAGCATTGCAAACACCATTTTGACAACTCCTGCTGCCCCAAAGAGAGGTTGTGTATCAGAGGGGGGGTGTTACCCTGCGTTGTTTCTTTCTCTACTTCCATTTAAATAGCACATTTATCCCCCTATGTTCCTGTAGGCAGCTCAAATGACTGAGAAATACCTGGCAGGGAAATCCATCTGGTTTCCGAGACCAGCTCTGACTCTTCCCAGCACAAATATTTCACCTCTTGTTGTCCTAACTGGGCATTGGGGATAGCAGGGAGCAACCAGTGAATGGAAAAGTGTTGTATGAAAACAGCAGCACAGGATTCAAAGACTTTATGAGCCTGTAAAGAGGCACCCCTGGGGGATTTAAAGCATGCATAAGTATTCCAGGTGCCAAATTCACATGGCCTTTTAATAGTTGTTATTTTCTTAATTAGATTATTTATGTTAGGTCTTATTTCTATTCTGGAACATCTAAATCTGAAGTGTGAACACCCCTGCTGTAATAGTCTGAAACTTGGCACCTTGCAGCAGACTTACTAAATGTCACCAGCTAGGACAACAGAGAGCTTATTTTCCTTAGCTTTTCTAATTGACCAGATGTCACTTTATCTCACTAGAAGTAGCCAGAGCGCAAGCATACCCAACTCCAGTGTGAGCTTGAGGTGAGTGGAGAAAGGAGAGGGGGCCCAGGAAACACAAGAGAAGTCACAAATGCAGTGATTTCAGACCTGAGGGACAAGAAGGGTATGAAGTCCCAGGGCAAGGCTGGAGATGTTGCTGCCTTTGCATCATCATCACAAGCCATAGGAGAGTCAAATGGAAGAAGGTGCTGAAAGGATGGTCCAGCCTGTTTGACAACAAAAGCCTTGACCTTATACCAACTCAACTGTACAAGTATAACCTCTAGAGGGAATGGCAATTTCAGGGGAATAGCATCTTCAAAGCTGGTCAGCTCATTTCTCTTCTCATACAGTCATGCCCTTTTTAAAATACCCCCAGCCATTCAAGTGGATTGAACCAATATCTGCAGCGAAAACAACTTTCTGCAGAGACTCGGAGTCCAAGAACAGCAGCATCAGCTCCCCAGTAGCTGCTGTACTGCTCATCATCTGTCAAAGATTTGGGAAAAAACCCTCACTTTTCCGCTCCACTGAACACTTGTCACTTCCCAACACTCCATTTTTCAGAAAGAGACTGGCACAGTTTGTGGTGTACCCAAACTTCTCACAACCGTGTACAAACTTTGCCAAATTGTTTTTTCCTACACAACAAAAACAAAGAGCCAGGGCAAATATAAATTATTTTGTTTCAGTGTTTTGTAAACAAGATGTTTCCATTTTTCAGTTAGAACCGATGTTGACTCTTAAAGGCCAGGGGAAGAGGGTGAGCTTGGGTTTCTTTAAGAGGAAAGCTTGAAAAATAAATATAATTGTTCACAACATGAAGCAAAGCTATTGGCAATTACTTGGTTCACCAAACATTTTGAACATTTTATTTTTTTTTGAGACATTTCCTTCCATTTTTCTCACCCACCAGCAAAGTGCAGAATCAGTCACACAGATGTGACCACCATTTTTAAAGACACCATCTCTAATACTTTTTTTTTCAAAAGATAAATTTCGTATGGAAAAAATGCACAAACAAAATTTGAACCTGAATAGAGTGGTTTGCTGCTATCCCACTATCTTTATATTGGCTCAACTTTTTTCCCCCCCCCAGGTTTTTCAGGTTGCAAAAAATTTTGAAGATTTTCATTTTTTCATCCCATACACAGGATACCAAAAAAACAACTAAAAAGCTGTGGAATCAAGAACATGCTTCCCATGCAACTTGGGCTAAAACATTCAAGAGAAAGTCTCCTAGGGTAGATTTTCTAATATACCTTATGATAATGTATATGGGGATGGTGGGAGGTTTCATCATCATCTCATAAAATAGTTTGAGTTGGAGGGGACCTTGAAGATCATCCAGTTCCAACCCCCCTGCTGTCTCTCTCCTTAAAATCTGGCTATTCTTTTGCATAACTACATTTAGTATTCTGTATTTGATTATAAAAGCACTCTTATACCCAGACACTCACTAAAAAAAAAAAGATATGTTGTGCCGGATGCTCGCAGGCAGCTCCAGACCCAAAATCAAATGGATAAAAAGGAAGAGCACTTTGAAACCCTTCCACATGGAGGGCACTTATGGTTTTAATCACCATGCATGTAAACTTTGTTATAAATCTCTTTATCTCTTCCTCTCCTCTCTTTGGGGGGCAGTGGAGAGGGAAGGGGGTGGGGAAGGCCATCTGTCATTCTGATTTTGGCCAATTTGGCCTAAACCACAACAGATTCATCACGGATTAAGTAGGAAGCAAAGTCTGATGACTAAGTGGAAACACCTTAACCACTCCCCTTCCGAGCAAGGGTTCAAAGCCATCAATACAGCAAGACAAGCTGGACAATACAACAGGAGTTTGCTAAAACTGCAGGAGGCTGCAAAACCCAACATGGAGGG